AAAAAAAAAACGAAAGTGGCTTTTCTTTCATCTTGTCTTTTCCAGTCATAGTGGTTTAGGGAGTTCTTCGCGCCGGGAGGCAACTCTGGGGCCGGGAGAGCCGGGGCCTCGGGGGCCAGAGGCGCAGAGTTGCCTCCCGGCTCGGCCACGTGGGCTAAAGGTATTTGAAGCCTCCCCGTCCCCGTCTGGCCGAGGGTTGCAAAGATCTGACACCATAACGCGGGCCGGGCTAGCGCGCGAGGCTCGGAGCAGTGACCTGCTTTGCCCGAGGCCGCGGTGGGGGGGGTCCCTCCCCCGGCCACACGGTGCAGCGCCTCCTCTGTCTGTCCAGCTCCTGGTGGACGACTTGCTTGTGTACAACGGGATCCTGGCCATGGTGGGCCACCTGGTGGGGGGCATCCTGCCCACGTGCGAGCCCACGCTGCCCTACCACACCATCCTCTTCACCGAGGACGCAGACGTGTGCCGCCAGGAGAAACGCACCGCCATCAGGTGCGCCCCAGGCCCGCCCCACGGCCTCCCCCGCCAGCCCTAACGGGGACGGACGGCAGGGGTCGAACCTTCCTTCCTCTCCCTCCCCCCCAGCAATCAGGTGGAGGATCAGGACGTCCAGATGATGAACGAAAACCAAATCATTACCAACTCGAAAAGGAAGCAGAGCGCGGTTGACCCAGGTCAGTGTCGCCTCTCGGCCCAGAGCGTAGCCCTCGGGAGTTAAGGCTGAACGGTCGGGAGCCAGCAGCCCCTGCCCACCCCTCAGACCCCTCCGCTCTGCCCAGGAGCCCACCTGGCGGCTGAGCTGGGGCTGTGGGGGCAGAACCCCAGGGGCAACGTGCTTCCCACGTCCCACAGGCGCCTGTGACCCAGTGTGGCTTCCTGGGAGGCAGGCCCTTGGGGCGCAGAGGGAAAAGGCCCCGAAGGGCAGACGTGCTGTATGGAGACGGCTAGGAAACCAGTGGGGGATGCAGGGGGCGAGGGCTTCCCAGAGGAGGTGCTGTTTGAGCTGCACCCTAAGAGATACGGGGAGCTGGCCAGGCAGAGGGGACAGCGTGGCAAAGGCCCGGAGGCGAGGCAGCAGAGTCGCTGCAGGGGAGGGGACGGGTCGGCGTGCGGGCGCTGGGCTCCGGGGCTGCAGGCAGTGGCCTGGGCCGGCCACCAGGACGGTCCGGACTTCACCCCCAGGGCGTGGGGCCGCCCTCGGTGACTGAGGCTGGGTAACGTCCACCCCTCTGTACTCTCCCCGACAGCACTGCGCCCCAAAACCTGCATAAGCGAGAAGGAGACAGTGCGACGGTGGCGGTGCTGACTGGCGGAGGAGGGAGAGCCGGGCCTCCCGACCAGAGCCGGGCTCTGTCACCGGCCCTGCCCAGCACCCGTGTCGCCCGCCCCCAGACCTCAGCCTCGGCAGCCTGGACTCCGGGGGCTGGAAGAAGGAGTCCCGTCGCGAAAGGGGACTCGCGTGGCACGGCCTTCCTCCGCCTTGCGGCTCGGGGGCTCCCTCCCGGGACACCCAGCTCGGTGCCCTCCCGCAGGACCCAGCAAAGCAGGGCCACACGCACTCACGCCTGTCCCTGCTCAGGCCCAGATGGTGGGGTGGCCGGGGAGGACTTGCTCCCAGCACGGAGTGTGGCTGTCCCGGGCCCGGGGTCAGGCCTCAGACCCCAACAGCAAGGGGAGGGGTGCCAGCAGCTCCCCGCCCCCCATGTCCCTCCGTCATCCGGGGTTCGGTGCAGCTGGGTGAGAGGGTGGGGCAGTTCCCTGGTCCCCCGAAGGTCTAGCCAGGGCCGCTGCATCCCCCTCACTCATCCCAGGCAAGGAGGACGGATCCCCGGGGACGTGTGTGTCTCACTGGGAAGAAGAAGGGGGCCATGCCCACCCGCCATGCTGCCAGGCCCACGTGGGACCCGCAGGTGGACAGCTTCACGCCCCAGAAGGCTCCGGACGCAGGGCAGGCCGAGGACCAGGGCCACAACCCCACCCTCGGGCCCCAGAGCCCACCTCCCCTTCCCCTTGAACTCTGTCTGGGGGAGGGCGGCCGCATCCCTGCGGTCTCACCACCGGCTTCTCTCACTCGCCTCCCCCAGTCTCGCCCGTGCCGGGCGCCCTTGCCTGCGGGCAGCGAGGTGTCTGGTGCCCCCACCCCTTCCCCCCCTCCCGGCAGCTTCCCCGCGAGTTGGAAATGTGCCTTGCACCCCCAGCCGAGTGGAGCTCAGAACGCATCTATTTCCATCTATGTAACAAGCCCGGATCAGGGACCTAATTGGTTTCCCAGTGGTGGGTAATTTCTCGTTCCAAATATTAATCCGTTGTTTTCCTGGCGCCCAGCCCGGCCCCGCCGCAGCGCTGTACTCGAAGTACGTTCCTATGCAACCGAGAGCCCGGCAGATACTTTATGAGCTTTGCAGCTTCCGCGGAGCAGCTATGCAAATGCGCTTTTCATTTGGAGCAGGGGGCCGATGCGAAGACAAGGAATTGTTTCTCCCGGAGAAGATCCATCATTGCTGCAGCTCCCCTGCTCACCTCCCAGATGGGGCGGGTGCCCCCGAGGCCTGTGGGCTCCCAGGAGAGCCGAGGCTTGGGGGGAGTCGGGGGCCGATCAGGCCGGCGCTTAGGGACCAAAACAGGTGCCACGACTTTAAAGGCTGTCACGGCTTCCCGTCCCCACCTGAGGCTGGGGCCCGGGTCAGACTGTCGGGGGGATTGCTCGAGCAGCGCACACGCTCCCAGAATCTCCACTGATGTTTATAATAATTGTATGCACCATGCAATTTAGGAGGGGGAGGAAAAAAAAGCTGTACAGGCATTAACTCCAAAATAAATTTCTATTTTTTTCTCTTGCAAGATCAATAAAAGATGTTATTAAGAATCTGGTCTGACGTGCTGGGTTCGGGGTCAGACGGAGGGAGCCTGTGCCGCCTCCAGGAACTGAGGCTGGCTGAGTGACACGGGGCAAGTCCCCTCTCTGAGCCCCCCCCCCCC